TACCACAGTAAGTGTACAGTTTGATGATTTTTAGTGAATTTATACAGTTGTGCAACCATCACCATAATCTACTCTGAGAACATTTCTATCACCCCAAAATGTTCCCTCATGTCCATTTCCAGCCAATCACCCAATTCGTTCCAGCCTGCTCTCTGTCTCTAGGGTGTGATCTTTTCTAGAAATTTCATATCAACATTACTGTACCTTTTGTGGTCTTTGCGGTTGGCTTCTTTCACTCAGCCAAATGGTTTGGAGGTCTGTCCAGGTTATTAAAAGTCTCAGTGGTGAGTCCCTTTTTATTGCTCAGTAGTATTCCGTTGTATGGCTCTTCCAGTTTATGTTTGAATGGCTTCCAGCATTTGCCCACATGACTAATGCTTCTCTGAACATTCAAATACAAGCCTTTGTGTGAACATGATTTCACTTCTCTCCCGTAGATCCCAAAGAGCGGGGTTGTTGAGTCCGAGGATTTGTGTATGTTTAACTTTTTAAAGAAAACTGGCAGACTGCTTTTCGAAGTGGTCATGCCATTTTACATTCCCACCAGCAGTGGGGGGAAGTTTCAGGTCTTCCACATCCTGGCAACTCTTGGTATGGTCAGTCTTTTCGATTCGAGCCATCCCCGTGGGCACGCAGTGTCGGGCATTCTACAGTGGCCCTGAGGCCAGAAAGGCCCCAGGTGAGCAACGTGAGAAACTTGCTTTGCAACCCTCAGCTCACAGTCTAATTAATACTCGAGGACCCATGTAACTTCTCTGAGCCTCAGTTTCCCTATCTGTAAATTGGAAACCACAATAACAACAGGTCCTGAGGAGTCACTGAGTGTGACAACATCTGTGAAGGACTGTCCTGAACCTCAAATTCCTTTCTAGAACCAAAAATAATATCGATAAACATGGAAATGTATGCGCTTAAGCAAGCAAAGATGTCCACTCAATTTTCCTTTGTATCTAAAATTCTTGCTTTATCCCCTCTGAGCAGAGTGCAAGGAAGACTATTTGACATTTTCTTTGCTTTATCTCTCCCATTGTTCTTGCGTTGACTCAGTACTTTCCATCATTAACCACAATGAGCCAAGTACATAATGGAATGAGCCCTTCTTCAATTGTGAACATTTACTCAAGATTTCTTCCACTTGGAGCTCGGAACCCAGGACTAGATCCAGCCTGCAGTAAGACATTTTAGGACAAAATACAAATTTGAAACCTTTGGCTGTGACATTTATGCAGCCTGTGCCCAGGGGACATATTTGAACCTGTAGACCAAAGAAAGAGTTCGTCCCCAAACTCAGGGGAGGCACATGGGCAGCTATGGGCCCTACTATTTGAAGAAACACTTGAAGCATCAGTGACTTGGATATGGTCCTACCTCGAGGCACACTGCAGACTATCCCACTCCCCTGGCGAGGCAGTGGCCGGGAACAGCGCATTCCTGGTTTACTGCCAATGTCCTCGATCTGCATGTTCTGCCATTTACTTGGGAAAATAATGTTTCGTTTCAAGTCAGGGCAACAAAACCACTGCCAGGAGCCGGCCAGCTCACAGGAGATGTGCGGGTAGCTTGGTGGCCCTGAACACCTAAGTGGTTTTGTTCCCCTTCGAGTTTCCTGCGGTACATTAACTTTTATTGATAGTGCATAGCTTCAGCAACTGGTCTTGATTTTACTAACCTGAAGGACAGAGGAACAAGAGGCACCCACACAGCTGACGTGCAAGAAAAAAATAGCACAGAACGTCTTGATGGGTTTCAGTGTTTTTCCCCTTGCTAGAGCTTTCCTTTAATGAGGGAGACACAGCCATTGCAGGTTAATCATGTCTCAGGCCCTCAAAGGGATGGGGGCTGAATAACCACTTAGAAATCTAACCATGGTTCCCTCCAGCAGACGCTTGGAGGTATAGCAAGGCACTCGTGAAATTGCAAGCTCTGATTTATGTCACTGCTATGGAGACTGGCAAAAGGATTCTTGGGTGTTTACATAATACAGGAATTAAGCAAATGTTAAACCAGGAGCTGGATGGAAAATCTATGTAATGAAAGACAGAGAGACCATTTTCTTCATTGCTTTGAGCAACCTAACATTTCTAGCTAGAATGTGCACCTTGGAGCAACCTCATTCTCTTTGACTCATGAACACTGTGAACAGTATAATTATGTTTTCTTTTCTGCATGGAATGCTATCACCATCAGCTTAAAAGAAGAGCATTATTGTTTATAAAAATAGATATGATTTGTTGAACACCTATTATAGGCCAGGCACAACTCTTTGCACTTTATACATCTTGCCTCAATTCATCCTCATAGCAATCTTAGGAAGCATAACTTCGTATTGTCATTTTGTAGCAAAGGAAATTGAGGTTCAGAGAGCATCTATAAACTGTCAAAGTCCTCAGACAAGCTGACGAAGGAACAGGATTTGAGTCAAAGTCAAGGAAAAAAAAACTGATCGCATCCTAAACCCAACTCTCAAACATACCCTCATCTTCACGTACACACAATCCCTGTCACTTTAAAATGCATGGTGTTTATTTTAACAGATTAAACATTAGTTTTACAAAATGGAGTTTTGTAGAAACACTAACATAGATCTGTTTTTATTCAGCCAAGATTCAGTGATTTCAATGATCACCTACTATGTGTAGGACCCTGTGCTAATAAGCTTGTCCTACTCAGGAAATCTCAGGGCTGTGATTGCAGAACCTCAGTAACCACAGCACAAATCTGTTTTGTAGGCTGCCCAGACTAGTTTTAAAAAACCACATCTCACCAACAGTGCGAAGGTTGCCTTTTCTCCACATCCTCGCTAACACTTGTTGTTTGTTGACTTATTGAGGACAGCAGTGTGAAGTGGTATCTCATTGTGGTTTTAGTTTGCATTTCTCTAACTACTACTGACACTGAGCATCTTTTCAATATGTCTATTGACGATCACTATGTCCTCTTTGGAGAAGTGTTTATTCAGATCCTTTGCCCATTTTTTAATTAGATTATTTGAATGTTTGGTGTTGAGTTTTGTAAGTTTTATGTTTCCTTTTAGGAGTTTTATGATTTCGAGTCTAACATTGAAGTCTTTCATCAATTTTGAGTTTATTCTTGTGTATGGTGTATGAAGGTGGTCTAGTTTCATTTTTTGCACATATCTGTCTACTTTTCCCAACACCATTTATTGAATAGACTATCTTTATCCCATTGTATGCTTTCATTCAGCCTAGATGTTTTTTCTTCCTTTGTCAAATATTAAGTGACCACAAAGGCGTGGGTTTATTTCTGGGCTCTCTATTCTGTTCCATTGATCTGTATCTCTGTTTTTATGCTAGTACCATGCTCTTTTGATTACTATGGTCTTGTAGTATAGTTTGATATCAGGTAGTGTAATTCCTTCAACTTTCTTCTTCTTTCTCAAGATTGCTATAGGTATTCGGGGACTTTTGTAGTTCCATATAAATTTTTGGAATATTTGTTCTAGTTCTGTGAAATATGCCATTGGTATCTTAATAGGAATTGCACTGAGTCTGTAGATGCTTTGGGTATTATAAACATTTTAATGATGTTAATTCTTTTTATCAATGAACACAGTATACACTTCCTCTTATTTGTATCTTCTTCAATTTCTTTCTTCAGTGTGTTATAGTTTTCCGACTAAGAGTGGTGAACACATACAATATACAGATGATATATATTATACAACTGTATACCTTAAACCTAGAAAATATTAACTAACTAGAGGCCCAGTGCATGAAATTCATGCACAGAGTGGGGGGAGGGGTCCCTCAGCCTGGCCTGAACACTCTTGCAATCCGAGATCACTGGCTCCTAAGTGCTCGCCTGCCTGCCTGATCACCCATAACCTCTCGCCTGCCTGCCTCATCGCCCCTAACCACTTCTGCCTGCCTGCCTGATCGCCCCTAACCACTCACCTGCCTGCTTGCTTGATAGCCCTTAACTGCTCACCTGCCTGTCTGATTGCCCCTAACTGTTCGCCTGCCTGCTGATTACCCCTAGCCACCCCTGTCTCAGCCCCCGCCATGATGGCTTAATCAGGAAGGACATCTGGAATGACGTCCGGAAGGTCATTCGGCTGTCCAGAGTAATTAGCATATTATGTTTGTATTATTACACATGTCATCCCAATAAAGTTAATAAAGAATGAAATAAAAAAACCATATCCTCTAGGTCATGATGCTTATTCAGACACTGTGATGTCCAAAGGTCTACATGGATGACCTGAAAGTGACCTCACACTGCCACCTGGACGGAGAGGTCCAGGCACAGGTATTGTGGCAAAGACATGGGGCCATGTTACTGAGTCTGTTCCTTCCAAGTCAAGATCAAGTTAGCATTCTTTCTGCTATTTTTATCTTGAGGTCCTGAGAAGTGTGCAAATTCCTATCTTAAAAAAAATTCCATCAAGTTAAAAGGCTCCATTTTGTATAGTCTTCAAATATCCTACATTAAAAATTAATAAGAGGGCTTCTTGATAAGTTAACTATGGAATTACCATATGGCCCAACAATTCTACTCTAGATATCTACCCAAAATGATTGAAAATCATTGTTCAAGTGAAAACTTGCACACAGATGTTCAGAGCAGCTCTATTCATATTAGTCCAAAAGTAGAAATAGCATAAATGTCCATCAACTGATAAATGGATAAACAAGTTGTGTATCCATACAATGGGTTACTATTCAGGATTACAAGGAAGAAGGTACTGACACAAGCTTCAACTGTGGATGAAGCTTGAAAACATTACGCAGAGTTAAAGAAACAAGATACAACAAGTCACATAGTGTTTGATACGATATATCTTATGCCTCCATTCAATGCACCAGAACTGCTAAATCTGAGAATTTGTTGATAGGGTAATAGAAAACTAATACAATGACTATTTGTTTATTTACTCATTTCTTGGTCAATTCGTTGGTTCAATAGATATTTATTGAGTATGTGCTGTGTGCATGCACTGTGTTGGGCTCCAGGGATACTGAATGAATGAACAGACTTACCTCTGCCTGAATAAAGCTTACAATCAAGAGAGTCATGTTTAGGCCCTCCTCACAAAAAGCAGCCACAAAGATGAAAGGTCACTAGGAGTAATGATGGCTTCAAGCAGTGACACTAAATCAGCAGAGGCCAATGGGTCCTTAGAGAATCTGATGAAAGATAAGGACCTTCTTCTCAGAAAAGTGAAAATAGGGTATAATGTTGCTTATTATTTCAGAGGATTCTAAGGCACCCCAGAGGCCCTTCTTCAAGGTCCATAGTTAAGAACACTTGGCTTAGAGATTCTGAAGATGCCTCTTTGATGAAGAAAGCTGCCATGGGGAATATGTACTTGGAGTATATGTCCATTATTTTCTTTTTTTAAATTTAATTTTACTTTTTTTCACGTGATATATATATATATATATATATATATATTTAAGATAAATAATTTTAAATGTTACATGCAATAAAAATTAATATTTCAAGAAAAACCATTTTAAATATAATATTGTTACATGCAATAAGCATTAATATTTCAAGAAAAACTATTTTAAATGTAATATTATTACATGCCATAGCCATTATTTTCAAGATAAATCTTATTTGACATCACCACTGTGATGGTTAATTTTATGTGTCACGTTGAATGGGCCATGGGGTGCTCAGATATTTGGTTCACATTATTTCTGGGTGTGTCTGCAAAGGTGTTTCTGGTTAAGATTAATATGGAAGCATGCAACAGACTGACAAATCTCTGAGGGAAGGGGGAAGAGATTAACCAAATAACTTACAAGTATATCTGCATAAGCCATTGGACACAGACATTAGTGCAGTAATGGCCTGGTGGGGGTGGAGGAGGGTAAATGTGTGTGTGGGGGGGGCGGGGGGGATGAGACATGTAATACTTTCAACAATAAAGATATATTTTTTAAAAATATTAATATCTTAATTGATAGACTGAGTAAAGCAGACTGCCCTGCACAATGTAGGTGGAGCTCATCTAATCTGTTGAAGGAGGAATATACTCTCTGCCTCATTGTCTTTGAGCTGGACACTGGTCTTCTGCCCTTGGACTCAGACATGACCTGGAACGTACAACATTGGCTCACCTGCTTCTCAGGCCTTTGGACTTGGACTAGAACTGTATGACCAGCTGGATCTGGACTTCTTGGCCTCCACAATCATGTGAGCCAATTCTTTATAACAAATCTCTGTATATTATATATACTAGAGGCCTGATGCATGAAAATCATTCAAGAGTAGGCACTTGGAGCCCCACCTGCCTCGTGGGCCCCCCTCCCACTGGTCGTTCTGGAAGGTCATCGGGAAAATTGTTCCACCCTCCAGTCTAATTAGCATATTAGCTCTTATTACATAGGATAGATACATCCTATTGGTTTTATTTCTCTGGAGAACCTGACTAATATACTAATACAAAACCAGCAACAACTAAATCATTCTCAAAACATTACTACCAGAAACAAATTCTAGCTATGCACTGGATGTTACAAACTTGATTAGAAAACATGGAAATGTGAAAACATAGTGCATTTAATTTTCCAGGTTTTTTTTAAAGAGGGCAAGTATTCAACCAACTTTTGAAAAAAAAAACAAAAACAGATGAGTAATTAAAAAACAACAACCCAGTGATTCAAACAAACAACTATAAAAAATAGTGCTACTTATATTTAGGGGACAATTGGAATTATGATCCTTCACTGGCTACTTAATGATATTAAACAATTTGTGCTATTTTTTAGGTATGATAATGATATTGTAGCTGTTTTTTTGAGAGCCCTTATATTGACTCATAATAAAATATCTATGGAATAAAAAGTATAATGTCTTCAATTTGCTTCTGTAAAATATCGGACATGGGGGACATGATTGGGGATGGAGATAAAACAATACTGGCCACTTGTGATAGTTGTTAAAACTGAATGATGCAATGATGGGAATGAATTATACTCTCTGTAACCTTCTGTAAATATCTTGCATTAAAAATAAACAAGTAGCCCTAACCGGTTTGGTTCATTGGATGGAGTGTCAGCCTGCGGACTGAAGGGTCCCAGGATCGATTCCGGTCAAGGGCATGTACCTTGGTTGCGGGCATATCCCCAGTAGGGGGTGTACAGGAGGCAGTTGATCAATGTTTCTCTCTCATCGATGTTTCTAACTCTCTATCCCTCTCCCTTCCTCTCTGTAAAAAATCAATAAAATATATATTTTTTAAAAATAAACAAGTAAATAAACAAGATGGAGCCAAACATAATTGTTAACACAACATAAATTAATTAATTAATTAATAGATATAGATAGATAATTGATATCACCTGGGAGGAAAATCTTCTCTTAACGCTCTCTGATGGGCCACCGTAACTGCCTCATGTTAGCTGGTTTCCAGACATTTCTCCTGAATGCCTACATATTTGACAGTGTGGCAGAGAACAAAGGAATACTTATTTGGCAGCACTGACAGGGAGAACATTTCTTTTTAACATGTCTTGTTACCTGAAATTATATTAAAAGTTCTGTTTTGTGTATTGCCCATCTCCCCCCGTGGTAATGTAAATGTAAGCTCCAAAAGGGTAAGGACTTGGCTTTTTGTTGTACCTTTACCTCTTGAAGAACAGTACCTGGCACATGATAGGTGTTGTATTTTCTTTTTGTTTGTTTGTATCTTTTTTGAATGATGGATAACTTAGTACAGTAAATAAATGAATCAAAGTCCAGCCAATTCATTATGAATTCCATTGACTGCTCACCATATACTAGATCTTATGATAACCATCAAAATAGATCAGAGATGCCCAGTAAAGAGATTGTACATGTAAAGGGTGCAAAGTGTGAGGATTATTTAATTACTTTCACAAAAGTCGAATGCCATTCATTCATCCATCCATCCATTCACAAATATTTACTGAGTACCAACTGTAGTGGAATTGACACACAATATAAATAGCACAGTTAAATAATAGCATAGTAGAAATAAACACCTGACAAAATCTCTATACTAATGAATTTTACATTTTAAGATATGAGGATAGGGTAAGGAAAAGAACTATATCAGAGACTACAATTCCAGCCAAAAGGTTATCTATTTGTTAATAACACCAATATGTGGCAGGGAATTCATTATCATTTCTCTTTTGAGAATTAACTAAAAAGTTTACTTAAAAGTTTACTAAAAAGCTTACATGACAATGCTATACATCTAAGCCATTAGCCATGTCCCATACACTGTCAAAATATGTCACCAAATGCATTAAATTCATGATTTCTCATTTAAGCAAGAGGAAACTGCATTTACTGGGAGACCACCTGTTTATAATGCAATGAAAACAGGATATGCAAATACTGTCTTTTAAAAAGCAAGAAGGAAGTTTCCAATATTACATCACATGAACTTGTTCCTATACTGAGTTTTTTCCTTTGAAAATAACTATCAATGTGTATCTTGTGAAAAGAACTATCAATAACTATCAAGTTCTATTTGCTTTGCCAGTTTCTATAGTCTCTGACACAGAAAGCCATGGACACATTTTTGAATGTGATATTACTATCTCTTCTCCAAACCCAACAGACTCACAGAGAATCATGAGTTTTAGGGACTGGCACAAATAAATGTTGAATCCTAAAACCAAATCTATAGTGACAGAAAGAATTTGAAGTTTTACCAATAGTAACTGGCCCTCTGGAATGGGTGCTAATGATAAAAATTGAGCTTTAACACATTCCATTTCTAATTAACTTTAATACTAAAAAAAAGCGTTCCTTTTCACCACAAGACCCACTCCTTCCTGGTGAATCCCCAAGGGATGCCTGCTCTTTTCTGGAAGGCATGGCTCTTCTAACTAATTAGAAATTGCTGGGGGGTGAGGGGAAGAGAAGAAGGCAGGGGTGGAAATCAGCAGGGGGTGAAAAATCAAATTTATTCCTGCCTTTCCCACATCCCTTTCTCCTAATCTCAGTCCAAGCTCTCTGTTTGGGAAACAAACACCAAAATCAGTTGAACGGATTCCAAGTCAGTTCATCCCGCTTCTCTGCAAGGCTGGCCTGGTCTGGCAGGAGAATATTATAGGGTATGGTCTTCCAGGAGCCATTTCATCAGTTATATTTGTGCAACTTAAATCTTTTGCCCTGTTTTCTAATTTCAAAAATTGGGGAAAAAATTCAAACATGGTGGAATTACATAAAGAAAAAAACAAAGTTCTCTCCTCCACCTTCTCATCTCCCATGCTTCCTGTTAAGGAGTTACCACTGTTAATAGTTAATGTTTCATTACAATCTCAGGTCACATTACAAACTATGCAAATATACACAAAACAGTCAGATACATGAGTAACTATCTTTATAAAAAAATTTCATAAAATACACATTGCTCTGCATTTTCCTTTATCCAAATATTATAGCATGGCAGCCATTATATATGTGTGTGGTTATAAAAACACACATATATTCTAAAATATGTATATTTAGACCTATCTCTTTAAAATATTTCTCTTTTTGCTATGCAAATTTAAAGCTGTGGACAACACAGGTGGATTAAACATACCCTATTAACAGGAATTCAGAATTCACAGGTTAAATAAATATACAAATAAATAAGTAAATAAATGCATGTTTGTATATATAATATGTGACATTATATAATGACATATACAGGGTATCCCAAAAAATGCACACACACTTAACAGCTCAATTGATGTTTCTTTCTTTTCAGACTTAACTCAGTGAAATTAATAATTATTCAAAGTGTGTATGCATTTTTTGGGGACACCGTGTGTGTGTGTGTGTGTGTGTGTGTGTGTGTGTGTGTGTACAGTGCTAAAAATATATTGATTCTTCTAATTGGGAGAGCTTGGACATTTATTCGGGTATTTCTATTTTTTTTCTGGTTCAGAGTAAAATTGCTAATCAAAATGTATGGTTAACTTGTATTAAAACTGTCAACTTGCTCTCCAACATGACCAAAAATAATTTATACTCCTTTTAATAGTGTATGTCCTTGTCCCCGGCTAAGAGAAACTTTTCAGAAAGTCTAGTTATGAGCATGAGTCAAAGTTTTATTGTAGTTTTGCTACAAGGGAAAGGCCTCTAGCAGATCAATTCAGAGATTCATTCTTGGTGGAGACATTTTATAGGGAAATGGAGTGATAAGATAGTCAATGTTAGGCTAGATACAAAGAAAAAAGAACATTTGGTTTAAGGTCCCTAGACTCTTGACTGACAGTCAGCTGGCTAGATGGGTGACTGATTTTTCAGAACAAGTCTTAATCCCATTAAAGTTTATCAGAAAATTGCTTAAGCAATTTATCAGGAATGAGGCTGTGAATTACATCATGCAAAAGATTCTATTCCAGACCAGATTTGGGACAACTTTTCTTTTTTATACCCTCTTATACTCTACACACTTACCAACAGGGAAATCATTTGTCTTCCTAATTTTTGTCAATGTCACAGTATAAAATAATATCTCATTGTTTAATTTCCAAGTCCATGAGTTAAAAATAAGATTGAGGTTTTTTTCATGTTTATCAATTTTTTTCAATGAATTTCCCATTCATTGACTTTGTCCATTTTTTCCTGTTGAGAGGTTCATATTTTTCTTTTATTTTGCAAAAACTCTTTCCATATTTGCTTATTTAAATGTGTGTATACATGAATACATGTGTATATTTTTTCTCCTATCCTATCTCATGAGATATTAAATTTGAAAAAAAAATCACTGAATTATATGCCAGCTTCTCTTGATACCTGGAAGAGAATTATTACATTTCTACTTCATTATAAAGTCACTGTAATCGTGCTTTTAAAGCCTTTAGTGCCTCTCTGTCTCCTAAAAACTAAGTCCCGGCATGTTGCAAGGCCCTTCATCACATGGTCACTGCCTAAGTCATAACATCCTTGATCACTCTGGTCTGGTCCGTTGTGCCCCAGCAATAGTGTAGAATTTCTAGTGGCCCAGACTGTCTGTTTCATCCCCCACACCTTTCAGTTGCTGATCCCTCTGCCAGAACATCTTCCCTGGATACTCTATGCCCTTAACAAACTCCTATTTGTCTTCTCTCCTCTGGAAGAAACTTACTCTTGCCCCACTGGAGATAAAGTTAGTCACACTCCCTCTTAGGTATCTTGTATATGCACCTATTTTCCATTAATTTATTTGTACCCTAGTCTGTCTTCCATGAAAGACAAGCTACCTGAGTAAGGAGTGAGTCCTAAATATTCCTATATCACCCGATCTTAGCATAGGACCTGACTGGCCCAGTAATCGTCAGATGGATAGCCATATCCTTTCTGCTATACACAGGGTGAGGGAAGGAGACACAGAAGAGGGGGAGGCGTGTAATGTCCATCTTTTGTCCACATTCCACAACAAACAAAAACATCCTTCTACCTGGAAAATGATAATGTCTCCACAGACTGGAAATTGGGGAGCAGAGGCTATCTTCCCTGTTCTGTTAGCTCAGTCTCTAGACCTGATGGGCATCAGCTCTCCCTGCACAGGAAGTGTTAACACAAACATCACGGAGGCCCGGGGAAATTTTATTGTCTGCCAGATTTACTAATTGGAATCGATCTTCATTCAACCAGTTTCACCAAAGTTTCTGCGAAGTGAGCATAGCGAAAGATAGGTGCCTTTCAGATCACCTGTGATTAAACTCACTGCATTTGTCTTCAAACAAAAGTGTTTTTTTTCCCTGCCCGCAACATATAATTTTAGTCAGCTAACACTAAATTAGACACCCACTCAGATTTATTATAATAAGAACATTCAGTAAGCTAATTTCAAGATGATGACTCCTATAAATTCTTATAATTTATTATTTAGTACTTTGGTTTTTAATCATTAAGTACGTGAAGACTTTGTAGGTCAAACCTGTATTAATGAAGACAGTAATCTATTTTTCAAACTCTGCTCCTCACCCACCTTTCAAATTGTAAATTAACAGAAATAGATTTAAACACACTTGTAAGAACAAAGGCAATAATTGGGGTGTGGGGGGAGCCATCATCCCCCAATTGCCTAATCTTTCTAGGTAGATTGTCAATCACAGTCTTGATTTATTGGAGACACATTGTTCTGATTCTTTAAATGAAATAATGGAGTCCAAATCTGAGAAGCCAGTAGTTCACTAAGAAAATAAAATCTACAACCCACATTTAAAGTTTCATTATAACAAAGCTGTTCAAATATTAGCCAATACAATTTCATTAGGGGTTAATCTTAACCCAATGTAGCAATTTTTACTGCTTTTTAATGAGATGTTAAAGTTTTAGAGATGCACAGACAGGAAGTAAAATATTAACTATATATAAATATTTTAGGAAGCTACCAATGTTATCTAAATGAGGGTTTTCTTAATCTCCCAAATTCATTGCCAAATTAGAACCCATTTCATGATCATTTAAAACTTTCCGTGCTAAAAGACTTAAGGGTTTCATTTTGCTAAACAAAGAGATGTGTTTTGATCAAC